TCGGCTGTTCATTGAACAGGGACAGGTAGCAAAAGTGGTCCATTTATTTCACTTATTTTCGCTGGGAGCATTGCTTGATATGACAAACACGAGGTATTCAAACTGCCACTTTAAGTCTGCCCATGACAATCCAGGATAACAAATTTTTCGCATTTTTGAGCGATACCACGGTAGGGTTAACAGTCGGTTGCACATTTCCTCATGTATAACCGAAATAACGATGCAATTCTTCTGAGAAGTTCTTTGGGCCTACATATGATGAAATAGACCACGGAGTTTACTGTCATAGCCGCTGGTGCATATGTCACAATCTTCAAAGTTATAAATTTAACCACGTTTGTTATGAGCTGTAGCAAAGCGCACTGAATTTTCCTGTTTGCGGTTATTCTGATCAGTAATAACCTCTAATATAGGTGGAAGGTTAAAAGTCGAAACGGGTAAATCCAAACGTCGGTGATGAAAATGAGATTAGTCTAATATAGTACGAATTAGTTTACTGCAGGGTAATTGAGCAAAATGGACCTGTTTAAGATTCGAACTTCTCTTCATCACTGTTTTCTGTAACTAAAAATGATTTTACTATGAACACTTTCGGAGTCTGTTCGAAATCTGCTTCCGTTATGACAATCGTTCAACACATAGAAAACCAGAAAGATGTTATAGACGCCAGGAAGATAAGGTATTTACCATTTTATAGTTTTTTTACTGAAAACAAGTTTCTCCTCATTTTCATTCAAGCAGTAACATCCTGCCATCTGAACAAGAATACCTGCTTCATTAAAACAGTTCATTATTCCTGCTGCCTTTTGCAGACATGCTAACTTGCTAAGACGTTTTGAAACACTGTTTTGGTATTTGCAGTTCAACCAAACTTAACTGGCATAAAAATGGAGTCATCTAACTCAGAACGTTTCACTGGATTTTAATTGTTGACGGTCACTATGAGTGCCAGTGTGTTTTTGTTCTTTCATTATTCGATCAGTTTTTCTCTCCTCCAAGCAGATTTCAAATGGATCTAGATTTTCTTATAATTTATCATCAGAGCAATAGAATGAATTCGGCTGCTTCAACTGCTCGTCATCAAAACGTTTCATATTAGCCCTTCGTAACTCAAAGGAACGGGAATCCTGGCGCCGTGTTCTCACTCATTCATCATTTATCAACATTTACCCTGACAGAAAACACTTCTTCAATGAGTCATTTATATTCGCTCTCGCCATGACCATTCGTCATTATATTCGTTCTCGCACCCTTAAAATCAGTAATTTTATATCTAAGATGGTACAAAGGGTTAATTTCAGTTGTATGACATTTTTACTGCAGTGTTCCTGTTTCTTGATGCATTTAAATATTAGTTTGAACGGTGGTGTGATTTGTGTGAAATAGTAATAACGATACAGTTCTTTTCATTCATGTATAAAAGACGCTGTGACTATTCGGAAACGAGGTAAAGCAGCCGCTAACACAACCGTTCTGCTGCTTATTATCGCTCCGCTATCTATGCATTACTGACTAGACGTGATCTAGACTGACTGCTGCCCTGCAGCAAACGTCAGGGCACCGTGTCACGTCAGGCATTCTGTTTTCGTACAGTTTGCCGTCTACCCTCAGTTGTGTACCCTTGCAAACTATGTTGTGAACGATAAGCTGAACGCGCTTGCCACCCGTTTACTTTGACAACGGCGTGGGCGATTATTTCGAACGCACCACAACCAGTGGAGGGGACCGCTGAATTGTGATGCGCAGTCATACAGTGTGAGCAAATCGTGTCAACCGTAAAAGACTGAACAATTTACCGGGAAAGAAGTCCGTCCGGTGCAACAGCGTAGGGTCATTCTCGATCAAACCGGGTTTTCCATTATCATTCCAGGCGGAAATGCAGAAAAGCGACTCGTCCTTCTTCAGTAACGGATAGGTGGTTGAGAAGTAAGAGAAGAAGTCCTTCGCCACTTCCAGGTCATCTGAGAAACATCAAAGCGATGTCAAGAGACAAACGAAACGATCAGCGAGCAGAGGGACAAGCTCAACTCATCATTATCCAAACCTTCAGTGATGACGGTCGCGTTGTAGCCGAACCTGTAGAATACCTCGCTGAGGGCCCAACGGTAATGACGAGCAATCTTGTAGTAACCGGCAAATTTCTTTTGTTGTCGCGGAAGCACGGGCTCCGTTTGATTCGGCTGCTAAAAACAGACGTTAGCCGATGACAAGCGTAAACAGATTTTCTTCGCTTCCACTTTTATAAACTTTATAGCGTCCCCAAACGATCTGACGACCTTCTCCGTTTCACCGTGATTACAGTCAAGACTAACTATGATCGGAAATCGATGCCTCGATGGCCGAAGCCTAAACAACAACAATGTCGTTTGAAATTTAAGTACAATGCGCATCCATCTAAGAGGAAAATTAACACAACTAGAATTTGATTTAAACCAAATTAATAACTCAAGCGTTCAAAAATAACAACGAGACTAGTCAATGAAAAAAAAAACAGACCAAATTAAGCGAGGGTGTTCTACAGGTTTTCGTGATGATAAAACATTAAAACGTCGTTAAACACAGTCATGCGATTCTGGCTAATCTTTCTCATTTATTACTTCAAAATCTCCGGCTTTATCCACTACCATCGTCGTCCACTACGACATCTCATGCAGACGTGAACCTGAAAAATTTCAAAAATCAAGCATCCAGTCGTTAACAGCCAGATGTTTCACCATTCGTGAGAAAAAATTGTCGATCATGTGCAATCGAGCTTAATCATCTGGCTTTGCATTGTTTCTTAACTGCACCTTGTATAAACGCACTATAGCGATTGAACAACGAAAACTTGTCGTGTATCCCGAGAGTACATAAAATCCACTTAGCCGACTCCATAGTAGACGATTTCAAGTATCTTTGAACGGTCTTGACTAAAACGATGGCTGCCATTATAAGGTTACCAATGCGCTTGATGGCATAAACGAATTCCACGTACAAAAACCTGGTGCTTTGATGGCAACTTGACCGCTTCTATCGACGTATCTGGCAAAATGCCTTGAAAGTGCGACAGTAAATCTAAGTCAATAACGACCGTGTAATGATGAACACCAATCTGAAAAAACAGTCAAGGGAGCTAAAACACCAATGCTTGGCTTGGATATAAAATGGTCCAACAGGGAAACCGAAATCCTGGAAATCTCACTGAAACGTTTCTCTCATGGGTGACTGATATTAGAAAAGCCACAGAAAAAGAAGCGTCGTGCTGAGCACAACTGCTTTCGACGACAAATATGGCCTCTGCCGCTGCAGTAAAGATTTGAGCACCACATCTGAAGAACTGTATCGCTGTTGCACTTAATGCGAGAATCAACTTCAGCCGGTTGCATTAGCAGAACATCCTCGGTTTGTGATGGTATTCACAGCTTTACAACAGTTTTCCCACAATATACACAGGATTCTGAACCGTAGAAGGAACAGTTCCTCTCTGTGACAGCAGTTTTGATTCTACTCTTCTTCCTCCTATTGCACACTGGCCTTCTGGAGCATGTCTGCCGTGTTTCGGTTCACCACGACAAGCTAATGGTCATCTGCAAATGATGCAAATTCAACCACTTTGTCCGACATGGACAACCTCTTTTTCTTAATTTCTACATCTACTGAAGTCAGTTTTTCAAAGAAAAGGTCATTTTTACGCGTCGAAACAAACACTCCGATACGCAGTTTAACTGCCGTTCTTGCTCCTTCGTTTGAACAGCTGTCTCTCGACGCATATAAACACTGATTTGACAGAGGCATGGAACAAGCGAACTTTTGTGGAAAGAGTTGTTCCTTTCTCAGCCCAAAATCACTCGAGGCTAAGGCTATTTCCATTTAACTTTGGTTAGATAATGCCATCGCTGGAGATGTCGAAGCCGCTATGCCTAAATTGGTCCTGAAGCGCTCTACCTTCTAGTTCCACTTGAAAATCAACAGCGCCGGATGGGCTCTTACGACTTTCGACTTCCGGGCGTTAAGGAAGAGGTCAGCTTTCGCAGCTGTCGCACATGGAAGATGTCAGGCGACAGAAACAGCTGCCGGTATTACTCATTAGAAAATTATCTGCATAGTCCACTTCAGCAAGATATTTAGCCGACATTCTTGAATTATGCATTTCCTCTAAATTGAGACCTTCGTGTTTGCCAGAGTCAGAACCGTTTCAGAAAAGCAAGTCGAGAACAGTGTTGAATAACAAAGGCGAAAGCACATTTCCCAGACAAATTCTCTAGGTAACAGGGAACTACTCAGACAGCTCTCCCCTGATTTTGACGACAAACATGATTCCTGCACGCATCTTTTTATAACGTAAACGACACAATCTGATATCCTAGAGCATTTCAAAACTTTCCACAACGTCGGACAATGCACTGAACCGTTGTTGTTTGTCACAGTCATCTGCTGTACGGTCAGCTTATCAGCTAAGTTGGACTAGATTAATGATGCCCAGCATGCAGCAGGTGATTCCTCCATTATTTTAAGCAATAACTGTTTCGAAAAAAAAACATTTCTAATCGCGAGTAAACCTGCTTTAGTAGGTTCTGAATGCTGTAAAAATAGCCTCCTCTTTCATGTCCCGCGGTCGACTCAAATACCAAGAAATTTCTTGTCACGCCTTTTGTTCTCAGAGCCGTTTCATCGAACCATGAGGCTCCGCTTTCACAGTACTCCACAGATATTGTTCATTTTGGTGGTTTCGAGTATGTCAACGTTCTTCAGTACGACACAACTGGACATTCAGAACGTTGCGTAAGCAATGTTACTGGAAGGAGTTAGGTGAGGCGCTTCAGGACTGGAACTGCTTCGACGCTACACAAAACAATGGAGAGGACAGCTATTTTCAATACGGTAAACACAGTCTTTATCATAACTGACAGGTTGTTCCATACTCCCTGCAGAATTATGAAGTCTGCTCTTGCAAGTCTTATGCACAGACCAATGCCTGGATCGTCGCCTTCATCATTGGTAATGAAAGAAACCAGATTTCTGGAGAGGCTGACTTCACCGTCGTACCACTTCATTTGATCTGAATGACGTCGGTGATTGCAGGTGCTTTCGTCGTCTCATAAGTCTTGCTGCACACTGGCGATGAGGGCTCCCAGCCCACTGCCGGAGGTGCTCATCAGAACAATATCGTCCGCATGCTCCAAGTCAGAAAGTTAAAACTGCAGGGTATCTGAAGTTTTTTCATAGCATAATGGTAAAGCCCTTCATCTCATTTGGAACAAACTTCTATGCATGACCCAGTCAACGGCGATTCTGAACAGTCTGCCTAACAGAGCAAACGTACTTTTCATAATCTTCATATCTGCCGGCGTCACTTGTGCCTGGAACAAAATGGAGTCATTCCTTATACGGTTCTGCTGCTTAACCGTCATTATATGTCGAAGCCAATGCTGCTGTACACAGTTCAACCGTCGCAGTTGCAGTAGAGTTACTCCCACGCTTAAAGATTGGAATTAAAGTCATTCCTTTCTTAGAGTCTTTACGTATAACTCTCATCTGTCATATGCTCCCGAGGACCTGTTGCATCCACTGACACGGCTTTAACTCTCACAGCTCAAAAGTTAAGCACGGCAACTAACCTGTCATGCCACCTACATATGTAACTTCTGTATAGCCGAATAACCATTCAAATATCTTAAGGCTCTAGGGCAGCACACGATATGACCAGTCGTAGCAAAGCCTTATAAAATTTCTCCTCATCAAGAGTAAATTTTTTTTACATTGGAAACAGATCTGTTCAACAGCTACGTGAAGGTTCAGTCCATCGCTTCCGATGGCTGGTAGTTCGTTCTTATTGCTGAAACTATAAAACTACTTTCTATTTGCCGCCCTTGCAACTAAGAGCAGCCGCCTGTCCGTCCACAACCTTGCTTTCTCCAACTTCGTTGCTTTCATTTCCAGCCATCGAGCCCGTCTTGGCAGTAGATCTTGTTCACCGCAATGGCGAGGTGTCGGTACCTTTGCTGTTTGGCACCATCACTATTTTCCTGCAACGCCGCCATTTCTTTCGCCGAAGCTCCACGAAGATTTCAGAGAAGCCAGCGCTTCTTTGTAGCAGAAACCGGACAGCCCTTGCTGTTCCCTCGATGATGTTCTTCTTCAGCTGCTCACAGAGCATCTTAGACGACTTGCTATTCTTCTCTTTTAAAGCAGCGAATTTG